GCGGCGGTCGCGGTACCCCTCGCGGGCTTACGCGACGAACGATACGCGAGGTCGGGAAGCAGGGACTTCTCCGGCGCGACGGTATGTCGAGGTCGGTTCGCGGTTTCGTCGATCACTTCTAATCGGGTGGCCAGCTGCTCTAACTCGGTAAAAGTCGAAAACTCATGTCGGCGAATAATACGCTGCGACTGCGCTCGTAGATTGCGGTGCGTGTGATCTAATTGATCGCTCAGACTCCACGGCGGGCTTAACCGATTGAACATGGCCTGCATGCACGTGATATAATCGGCGGCAGACTCATGTTCTCCCTGCTCGCGACGCAGAACCTCGTTGCGGAGCGCGCTCTGAAAGTCGGGATCACCAAATCTACTACGCCACGCGGTCTCGAAATCTTCCCACGCGCGTAGTTCCGCCCTTCGATTTTGGAACCAGTAGGACGCGATACCCGTTAAGAAAAAAGGCAGACACCGAAATAGTTCCTCGTCCGATACCGGGTATAACTCGCGACCTTCTTTAACCTTTGTCAAAAACGCTTCCGCGTCACTCCCGCGCGCACCGGAAAACGAAACGTTCCCCTTGCGCAGCGCGTTGCACATGTCATTTGCCGCGTGACGCGAAGACGTACGGTTGTCGCGCAAGAAGATTGGCGGCGATCCCGTTTGCGGGTCAGCGAGGAGGTCCTTGCTACCGGTCTGATTCTCGGCAGTGAAACGGCTGGGACTGTCCGGCGCTACGGCCGCGGAGGTCGAGGGGCGTAGGAAGTTAGACGCGCCCTCCCCAGTATTCGCGGCACGAGTGGTCGCCGGCCCTAAACGCACGTTTAATTCGTGACGTAAAAGATGATCCTGCAGCGCGATTATATCACCTTCGGCGTCTATTCCCCTCCGCGCTAATTCATCGCGCAATGACTCTAATGGCAGCTTATAGATCCACCCGAAACGCGAACCTTCCTCTGACATTTTGCTGACTCACGCAAACACGGTGGCCTAAATATTTTCGATAATACTTCCGGCGTACAACCAGCGAGAAACAAGGGTACTCGGTACGAAATTCAAACACGTCGGCTTGCTGCGTGCTTTCCTCTCCCGGTCGCTTCACGGTCACGGTACAGCACGATGCGGCACGTGAAACAAACAAGTATTCGCGAAAACAGAATTTGAAACGACCGATACTCGCAATGACAACGCGTGAAACGTCCAAC